CGCAGATTTTTGTCGCTAACGGCATTGGTTTTTCTGGCAGATGCTTCTAGCTAAAAGAATTTCAGACTGGCCACCAGGACTGCCAGGAAAAATCTCCTCAAAATTTCAGTCTTTTCTCGAGTTAGCAACTTACCCGAAAGAAAATTTCAAGAGCCCTAGGCAGGTAAAGCGCTTACCCGCGGGCAGGGTTTGAACTCGTTAATAAGCGCTTGGACAGGGAACATCCCCCTGAAATTTCAACTTTCTGGCTTCTCAGATCTTCGAGTTATGAACTTTCCCGAAAAAAATTTTGGTGGGTCCGTACGCGAGTACCACGCTTACCCGGCGGATGGGTTTGAACTCAGTAATACCCACCTGGGCAAGGAACGTCACCCTAAGATTTCAGCCTTTTAGCATCTCAGATCCCCGAGTTATGAACTTTGGCCTTGTGCTTGATACCAGGCTATGCCCTTACTGTTCCCAGAGACTCTCGACCTCTCCAAGGTATCTTCTTACTTCGCTTAATCCCTTTTAACAACTTGATCTTACTGCTTCTTCCATTTAGTAAACTGTCTTACAGGGTTTGCGTAAGCCACTCGATGAACTGAAGGAAGTCTTGGACTGCCGTGACGCACGTTTCACCGAAAATACGCAGCGGATCGAGACCAACGAGCGAATTGCGCGTTCATTCAGTGCCCGAATCTTCGGTTACGACTTCAGCAGATGTCGTGTGGAGTCGCATGAGCATGATAGAACCACCAAGGTGACCGTGATCAAACTCCTAGATCTTTTCCATCAACTCCTCGCCGACGGCCATGCGTCGGTTCCAAGCTGAGATAGACTCCTTGCAGATTCAGTCTCTGCATTGGGCGGGGCGTGAGCCCCACAAGCTCCTAATCGTCCGCTTCCTAACCGCCTCGGACAAACAACGTTTCGATAGCTGAAAGCGCATGATATCTAAGGACTTCTTACCACATGGACTTGTTATAACGATTCGCAATGACCTTACGAAATCACAGTATGTTGCCGCTTTGCGTGCGAAAGATTTGGCCAAACGTTTGCAATGCAGAGGATTTTACGCGATTTCATCTGACGCTCGTGTAGGAGTCGGCGCGCCTCCGCATCGGCACTGGTACTAACCGGATGGCCCGACTCTCCAGAATCTTCTCTCCCCGCCTGACACTTGATTGTAACGCAGTCTCTTTCCACCTGCTGCACTCATCTGCTTCATGCTTTCTGACATTAAGCCTCTTGTAAATTTCTTCGGATTCTCTGCAACAATTTCCCATAAATCCGAGCCAACAACTCTATCGGTCTGCGAGATATAAGTTGATCTAACCATTATCTCAATTGTTGTGACTATCCTGGCAGAGCAGTAACGCCGGAATTCCCCTATGCTACAAAAGTAAAAAATGTCATCGACTCCATGATTTGTCCCTTGTCGCAAGATCACTTGGTTACTGATGAGCATTTTACTAACAAGCAAATAAACAAGACCGGATTGCTACTTCTAAGTTTCTATATGGTA